CAAGGTATAAAGCTATAATCATTTGATATATCACAAAAATCGTTCTTTATCAAATGTATATGTGCACGGATGTGTAACAAAACAAACTTTTACTGCTAGTATTCTGTCAACGACAAGTCATGCGGCCCCATATGGGTCCAAACGCAGTAAACATAGTATCTACAATCAATTTCTACCTACATAAATAGTTTTTAAAAAGTCATAAATAGTACGGTAGTGAACAGGATCTTTACATACCTTCTTCTATCGGTAGATTGGCGACAGCACGGAAAATGCACGCTTTTAAAGCTTTTAAAGCTAAAGAAAACCGGAGACAACGTGGCCACGCGTATTAGCACTTTTCCGCGAACTCACATGCTCGCGCCAGCTGCGCCGGGCTTGTTTTGCTCCGGGTGACCTCTGACCCAAAATGGCGCCGCGAAACCGGTAACTCGTGTATACGTGCAGATCCAACAAGCAAGTCAAATTAAATAAATGAAGGAATAAACGAATGAATAGATTTAGCCTGAAAGCCTTTATTAAAACTCAGCACATACTGTGTAAAGCGACAAAAAAGAAAAAAAAAATTATGTCATGTACCATATGTAAAATAAATATTTGCAATACTAAACAGGTAGAACTAGAACTATCACGTCTTGCTTCGCCAGGATGATCGTCTCACAGTCCATCTTCTTTGTAGAAGTATGTGCTGCAGTCTTACCACGTTCTATCAGTCGCTTCTGACCTACGAAAAAATACAGAAAACAAGTACAGTGTAAAAATGGCATTTTGGCCAGAATGTGCTAAAAACCGTTAGGATAACAGTCTCCCCAGCGGCCCGGATGCCAGCAGCAGGCATTGTTATGCGAGCCAGCATTGACATGTGAAATACCCCCCGTGAGAAGGCCGGCGATTTTACATATGGGAACAACAGGTCAGATAAAGGCCACAGATGTGAGTTGCGAAGTTGAGTTGCTCTAAACTTTCGTCAGAAATGATCTGAAACCATTATACTAATTAAAAGAGTTTCGAAGGGTTTACTCACTTCTATATGAGGGTCTGCATGGTGGGGTCCTGGCAACGGTTAACGGTAATTCAGCAGGGCCGATAACGCTTAACGGTAAATTCACGACGGTCGGCAACGCTTAACGGTAAATTGACAGGCTTTTTTTTCGAGCTGCACTGGATTTGGTATCTCGACTTGTGAGAAAAGGTGATCACTGACAAAATTACGTATACCTTACATGTAATGAAGCACGCATTAAAGGTATGTGTTCCCTGTGTTTCCCACCTGCCCTGGTCCCCGAGTGCGTCCACAAATACAGGGGAGTCCGAGTCGACGTCGGCCAGCTTGCATTTTTTGGCGACGCCTCAGGGGCGGAGCCGTTGGTATAGTACTGCGATTGAGTTGAAAATATTCTAAGAATTCCGCCAATGCATTCCCTAGGGAATTGCTTTTTGGCTATACCTTGTGGGACTTATTCTCCAAGCAGAGGTTGAAGGGGAAGATCGTTACCCCCGCTAACGATCATCCCCACCAACCTCTGCTTGGAGAGTAGTGGGACCAGCCTTTACACATAGGCTTGTGGCATGACACATGCAGTAGTCTGTACAGTGTTTCTACGATATTTATTTTATTTATTTATTTCAGCTTCATTACAAAGTATGTAATTGGACAGGGGGAACAGGTCTAGCCTTTGTCTTAACTATGTGATGATAGTGATGTTTTGTGTAAGGGATTTTATTCATTTGTGTGGGTATTTGCGTCAGTATTGCTTTTTTTTATTCTTGGATTTTTTTTGTCTTTTC